GTAATTGTGACTTTTTTTATAACAGGATAACAGAATTTTCCTAAATTTGTAAAAAGTATTGGTATTTTAATGAGAAATTGATTGACTATATTATGTTTAATTTTTGTATTTATAATAATTCCGTAAGTTATTGGGAAGGTTTGTCTATTAGAAAATCAATTTACTGAAAGGTAAAATTACAACATGCTAAATTTATAAACGCAGGATAAAATGTTTAAGGACATCTGAATAAATAAAATCCCTTTTTTTTTCTTTTTTAGCCTAAATAAAATTTTGTTCAAATTGTTGGTCTTTTTAAAGATGTAACATTTGGATTTGCTTATTTTCGCTATTATTTTTGTAGTCTTTTTCATTCATCTCTCCTATTATGTTATTATTTCCTTACTTTTGCTTGTTGTAAGTTTAGTCTGCTCTTGTTTTTACCTCGGTGTTTTAAGGTGAAAGGATACATTTTGATTGGACATATTTTTTAACAATCATTTATGGCTGTAATTTTCCCACTTATGTATGATTTTGGCTGCATCCCATAATTTTTGGAATGTTGTGTTTTCATTTCCACTTTTCTCAAGGTATTTTATAATTCCTCTTGTGATTTCTTTTCCATTTAGAAATGTGTTGCTTAATTTCCAGGTTTGTGAATTTCCAAAATTCCTTCCTTTCTGCTATTGATTTCTAATTTCGTTCCATTGTAGTCAGAAACTATATTTTGTATGATTTTAACTCTTTTAAATGTACTGAAATTTCTCTTATGACCAGCACATAGTGTCTGCTGGAGAAGATCCTATGTGCACTAGAGAATACTTCTGCTCTCTTGTTTCCGGTTGGAGTGTTCTGTAGGTGTTGATCAGGTCTACATGGTTTATAATGTTGTCCAAGTCTTTCATTACCTTTTTGATCTCCCCCTGGTTGTTCTGTACTTTAGTGAAATTGGCTATGGCAGTTTCCAACTATTGTTCTGAATGATCTATTTTCCTTTTAATTCTGTAAGTTTCTTTTCATGTGCTTTGGAGCTCTGTTATTACATGCCTCTATGTGTATACCTATTTTACCTTCCTGATAGATTGGGCCACTTTACCATTAAAACATATCCCTCTTTATTCCTAGTGACATTTTGAAGTCTATTTTGTCTGACATTTGTATACCCACACTAGCTTTCTTGTGGTTTCTATCTCCAGGGAGCTGATTTAAACCTAAATTAAATCCAGCATTGTTTCCATATTTTTTTTTTAGATTCCAACACCTTTTATCAATATTTTATTTTTAAACACAGGTGAGCCCACTTTTTAAATATATCATTGCATTTCAACAGTTACACAAAACCTAAGTACATGTGTCTACCATTGCACACCACATGAGAACCCTGCTGGGTGAGGAAATCTGTACTCAACCATTAAATTAATGAAAACTAGTGTTCACTCCAAAATATAACTACTTGCATAGGATACCATGCTATAACATTTCAAGGTCATCGCAAACAAAAGGCAAATTATAAGAGTTTGCCTTAATTGAGTGTACAATAAGGTTCAACACATCAGTGCAAAAGAAATTTAGAATTTACATGATTTAACAAAAGGAAAAAATAATCAGTTAAAAAGCAATCATACATTTATACTATAGTTCATTGTATCCATTCACTGGACTGTTCCAGCTTCTTATCAAAGTCATAGGTCAAGCCCTTAAAATTATGGCTTTCAATTGACATTACTCATCATCTTCTTGTGCCAGGACTGCACAGTTTCCTTATCGGACAACATACAATAAGTAATGAACATCAGCAGCTTAAAAATGAAATAAGTATTTATTTTATTTTGGATTTTTCCAAAAATCTCTTTCTTTTGATTGGATTTTTAAGCAAATCACAGTTAATATTATTGATATAGTTGGATTTACCTGCCATTTTACTTTTGCCTTCAGTAAATCTCATGCCTTATTCCTGTTCTCCTTTCTTCTTTTACTCTTCCTTTGTACTGAGTAAGTATTTTCTAGTGTGTAACATTTTAATTTCTTTAACATGTTTTTACTAGGATTTTTGAGTCATTTTCTTAAGTGATTTTTTTAAGACTTACCATATGCAGCTTCCTTATTAAAATTTGCTTTTGAGTTGTATTAATTATTGTAAGACAGAAAAACTTCTATTTGGTTCTATTCCTTCTTCCCCATTTTTGTGCTGTCATTGTACATTTTACTTCTATGCATATTCCAAAAGCAATAATCTATTATTATAATAATTTATATACTTTTATGTTCTTTAAAAAAAGTTGAGAGAAAAAGGAAAGCAAGTGTTTATAAATTTTGTTTTATTAACTTTTTATTTACTATTCTGGGTTCTCTTTATCTGTTCATTTGGTTTCAAGTTACTGTCTGATGTCATTTTCTTACTTCAGTACAAGTGTGCTCTTTCATGTCTCCTTTGTGCTATTATTATTAAATACATTTCCATATATTATATCCCAACAATACAATTATATTCATATTGTTTTGCAAAATTACTTTTTAAATTAAGAGAAATGTGATGAAATATGTGTTTATATTATATTGAAGAATTCCATAATTATCTTTACATATGCCTTTGTGTGTATATATGTATATTATATACGTTCTAATTACTCTGAGTCACATTTTTCCAGCCTTAAAAACTTCCTTTAGTATTTATTGTAAGATACATCTACCAGAGATGGATTTTCTTAGTTTTTGTTTACTTCAGAAAGTCTTTATTTTGCCTTCATCCTAAAACATATCTTTGCTGAGATTTTGGTTGTTGTTTGGTGGTTGTTTTCTTAGGACTTTGAATGTGCCATCCCACTGTATTCTGGCCTTTATTGTTTCTGATGAAAAATTAGCTGTTAATCTAATTGGAGTTCCCTTCTATATGACAAGTCCTTTTTCTCTCGCTGACTTCAGGATTTTTTACTTGTCATTGGCTTTCTGTGTTTTTAATATGACGTGTCTGGTTGTGAATCAAGTTGTATTTATCTCTTTGTAGTTCATTTAGCTTCTTCAATGTGTAGATTAAAGATTTTCATCACATTTGGGAAGCTTTTTTTCATTTCTTTGAATATTTTCTCTCCTTCTGGTATTCTGGGAGTTAACGGTGTCCCACACTTCTCTATAGGTCTGTTTGTTTTTCTTAATTCTTTTTTCTCTCTTTTTTGATTTTAAAAATCTCTATTGATTTATCTGTAAGTTTTCTATTTTTTTTTCTGTCAGCCTAATTTACTGTTTGAGTCCCTCTAGGAAAATTTTTATTTTTATTTTAGTTATTGTACTTTTCATTTCAAAATGTCCTTTTCTTTAAGTCTAGAATTTATTTTCTATTAATTATATCTATTTATTAATAGTCTCTTTTTAGTGAAATATTATCATGATACTTTTATTTATTTTGTTAAGCCCATGCTTATTATTTTTAATGGGTGATTTTATGTCTTTGGTATATACAAGATTGGGCCCCTTTCATAGGAAATTTCTATTGCCTGCTTTTCCCTCCTGTATATAGATGACATTTTCCTGTTTCTTTACATGGCTCAAAATTGTTAATTGAATATTAGATAATCATTTGTATGGATTCTCCTTTCCCTCCAGAGCTTCTTAATGTTTGCTTGTTTATTTGTTTAAAGACTTTGCTTGACTATTTTCATAAAGTCTATTTCCGCCACAGTGTGAAGCCTCTGAAATCACTTCTCAGAGGGGAAAAACTCACTTATGCTCAGTCACACTGGGTTGAGGATTCTTTAGCAGGCTTCTCTTTGACTGTCTCTTGCCCTGATCACTCTATTAAGACAGCTGCATCTATTGGTATCAAAATCAGGTTTAGGCTCTACTAATTGCTGCCTGATTGCAATATTATTTCATCAGTACAATCTGATCCAGTTATAGTAAAGTTCCTTTAGCTTTTAAAAGCCAGTCTCTGAGATTGGTTATGATACTAGGAAGACTTCTTAGCTATCTCTTCTTTGGTTCTCCCTGGTAAACTCGCTGGCCTTTGGTTTAGCAGGGGCTACCAGCCTCCTCCTAATTGCTTACCACAAAAATCTCCATTGTTTTTGAGAGCATATTTAGGTTTTAACTTCCCATACTCTGTTCCAAATAAAGTCAGTTCTTTGGGAAGAGCTTCAGAGCTCTCGGTTGTTATGACCTACCTTTTTCTCCAAGCAAAATCTCTGGAGTAGTGACTCCAGAGCTGGGCATGAGACAGTGCTCTACTTTTCCCAGAGTTACAGTCTTCCTTTACAAGCAACACACTGGGAGCAGGTGATAACCTCAGGTCTTCTTGGCTTGCCTCTCCTGGAACTGAATTCTAGCAAGCTGGAGTAGGAGTGACTATGACCCCCCCCCCCATATTCACTGTCACACATGAAGTACAGCTTCTGCCCTATAAGTAGAAATTGGGTAGAGAAAGCAAACTCCAAATCTTTTGGATGTACTTGTCTTGTTCTTTGAAAACATAAGCAAAATTGACAAACTTTTAACTAGACTCACTAAGAAAAAAAGAGAGAAGGCTCAGACAAATAAAATCAGAAAAGGAAAATTGTAATGGATAGCACAGAAATACAAAGGATTATAAGAAAATTCTGTAACAACTATACACCAACAAATTGAACAACCTGGAAAAAATAAGTAAATTGCAACCTTCCAAAACTAAATCATGAAGAAATAGAAAATTTGAACAGACCAATTAATTACCAGTAATGAAATTGAATCACTAATCAAAAACTTCCTAACAAACAAAGTTCAGGACAAGACGGCTTCACTAGTGAATTCTACCAAACATTCAAAGAAGATTTAATACCAATGTTTCTCAAAGTCTTCAAACAAAAAAAAATTGGAAGGATAGAAATGCTTCCTAACTCATTTTACAAACCCTGATACCAAAATGAGACAAAGACAACACACAAAAATAAAATTATAGTCTAATAACTCTGATGAATATATATGTAAAAATCCTCAACAAAATATTAGCAAGTTAAATATAGTATATTAAAAGGATCATACACTACCAAATGGGATTTATTACAGGAATGCAAGGATGGTTTCACATTCACAAATCAATCAACCAACATGATATGCTACATTAACAAAATGAAAGATAAAGTTCATGTATTCACTTCAATATATTTAGAAAAAGCACTTTAAAAAAATCAACACCCATTTATGATAAAATCTCTCAGTAAAATGGGCATAGAAAAATGGGCCTGAACATAATAAAGTCTGTATATGACAAACCCACAACTAACATCATACTCAATGGTGTAAAACTGAAAACCATCCCTCTAAGGTCAAGAACAAGACAAGAATGGCCACTTACTGCTTTTATTCAATACAGTATTGGAAGTCCTGGCCAGAGCAATTATGCAAGAAAAAAAAAAGACATCCAAATTGGAAAGGAAGAAGTAAAACCATCACTTTTTGCAGATAACATGATTTTCTATATAGAAAACCCTAAAGAATCCACTTGAAAACCTGTTAAAATAATAAACAAATCCAGTAAAATTGCAGGGTTCAAAATCAATATACAAAAATCTGTTGTATTTCTACACACTAACAGCAAAGTAGCATAAAAATAAATTAAGAAAACAGTCCCATTTACAACTACAACAAAAAGAATAATAAAACTGTGAATAAAATTTTCACCAAAGAGGTGGGAGACCTGTACACTCAAAACTAATATATTGTTGAACAAATTGAAGACACAAAGAAATGGAAAGCTATTCTGTGATCATGGATTGGAAGAATTACCATTGTTAAAATTTTCATGGTATCTAAAGCAAACTACAGAGTCAGTGTAATCCCTATGAAAATTCCAATAACATTTTTCACATAAATAGAACCAAAAAACTAAAATGTATGTGGAACCACAAAAGACCTGAGTAGCCAAAGCAATCTTTATGGAAAAGAATAGAACTGATGGTATCATACTACACAATTTTAAATTATACTATAAAGCTATAATAATCAAAACAGCATGGTATTTGTAGAAGAACAGACACAAAGAGCAATGAAACAGAATTGAAAATTGAGAGCCCAGAAATACACTCACACATATATGGACAATTAGTTTTTGACAAAGGAGTCAAGAATATAAAATGGGAAAAGAACAGTCTTGTCAATAAATGGTGCTAGGAAAACTGGATAGCCACATGCAAAATAATGAAACTAGACCACCTTCTTACACCACAAACAAAAATCAACTCAACATGGATTAAGGAAATGGAGGTAAGACCTGAAGCCATAATACTCCTAGAAGAAAATATAGGAAGTACTCTTTTTTTACAGTGGTCTTAGCAATATCTTTTTGTATATGTTTCCTCAGACATGATAAACTAAAGCCAAAATAAACAAGTACAACTACCTTAAAATAAAAAGCTTCTACACAGTAAAGTAAAAAAATCAACTAGGTGAAAACACAATTTACCGGATGGGATATTTGCAAATCATATATCTGATAAGGGATTAATATTCCAAAATATACAAAGAACTTATACAACGCAACAACAACAAAAGACAAAAAACTTAATTTTAAAAATGGACAGAGGATCTGAATAGACATTTTTCCCAAGAGATACAGATGGCCAACAGACATGTGAAAAGATGTTTAGTGTCACTAATTATTAGGGAAATGCGAATCAAAACCATAATGAGATATCACTTCATATCAGTTAGAATGGCTATTATCAAAAAGGCAAGAAATAACAAGTATTGGAGAGGATGTGTGGAAAAGGAATTCTCTTACACTGTTGATGGGAATGTAAATTGGTGCATCCACTATGGAAAAGAGTACAGAGATTTTTTAAAAAATTAATAGAATTGCCATATGATTCAGCTTTTAGACTTCAGGGTATTTATCCAAAGAACACAAAACACTAATTAGAAAAGGTATATGCGTTATTTGTAATAGCCAGTATATGGAAACAACCTATGTGCCTATTGATGGATAAGTGAATAAAGGTGTATTATATATCTATTACAATGGAATACTACTCAGCCATAGAAAAAAGATGAGATCTTGCCATTTGTGACAACATGGATGGACCTTGAGGGTTTTATATTAAGTGAAATAAGTCAGATGGAGAAGGACACATTTGTATGATTTGACTCATATATGAAATAAAAAAATAAATGAACAAACTAAACAAAAACAAACACATAGATACAGAGAACAGAGTAGTGGTTATCAAAGGGAAAGGGATGTTGAGGATGGCAAAATGAATAAAGGGGGTCAACTGTATGGTGGTGGAGGTATACTAAACTCTTGCTGGTGAGCAGACTGTAGCATGTACAGAAGTCACAATATGTTGTACATGTGAAATGTATATACAATTATAATCCAGGGTTACCTCAATACAGTATTAAAAAATGTTTAATGTTTTTTCTTTAGTACATGTGCTTCTATAATTTTAGTATGTGCCAAGATGCCTGTCTCTTCTGACACTATCAGTTACCTTGCCAGGGTGGTTGTCTCTGATTAACACTGGATGACAAATCACTGCATTATTACAGACACACAAAAAATTATTTAATCAACTAAATTTTCTAGGACAGCACAAGACTGATAGAACTCAAGTCGTATCCAAATTTTCCTTTTGAATGGGAACATTTATTCATTTATTGATTCTGCAACCTAAGTTGAGTGTTGGTGGGTGAGCAGGAATTATTTAGAGAAAGTCTGGGGTTGGGTGGGGGAGATGTGGAGGTACCAGAGATCATGACTATCTCTGGATAGATTAAGCAGGAGTAATAGTATGTCTAAGAGCATAGAGATGGGCGGAACTGCAAGAAGCTTAATGTGATGGGTGCATAAGTTGGGAGGTGAAGTGCGGCAACATAGTGATTGTGAGATTTAAGAAGGGCTAGATCATGAAGGCAGTTTATGTTGGGCTTAGCAGTCTCCCCTGTACCGCAAAGTGGCATGGTACCTGTTATGAGAAGAGTTGGCTTGCAGTACATTTTAAAACCTTTCTCCTGTGGTTTCCCCTCTGGTTTTATTTGAATTGAGCTTTCTATATTCTTCATGAAATATTCTTAGTCAGGACTTGTATGAAGTGGAATATAGTATTTCTGAGTGATAAATAGTATCTAAAGCAGAGCTGGAGGGCATTGAATGGATCCCAAGACAACTTTTATTCCCCTGGCATCATGAAAACAGGTGAATTATTACTAAACCCTGGAGAACTCAGCATCTAAATCATAGATGGAACTGCATAACGGGAACCTATCAGAGAAATAACATTGTCAAAACAGTTACAGCTCTATTACGCTGTCCACTTCAGCCAGGTCATGCACGTAATTGGATTAGAAACAGCTCTAGGCTAGCTGAGTTAAAATTAGATAGAACCAAAACAGACTCCTAAGACTTTGGGTCTTTTGGATATGACAGAAAACTACCCTGGGGACAAGATGATACCTACAATTTCTATTCCATTGGGCTGTTCATTGTCAGACTAAAGGGATTTGGAAAATTGTTTATTCATGTTTAATTTTGTGAATTGTTCCCTCAGCCCTTAACTCTCACAGTTGAATTTACATAATTATAATTGCAACATAGTTATTTCTGATAACTTCAAGCAAGTGAATGATGTTCTTGCCTTGTGCCCATGTCAGGCACGTAACTGGAGCTCAGTAGGTATATCTGGGTCCATCTGGAACTGAAGGATCAGAGTCCTTCTCATTGTACCTTTTAAATAGAGTCTGGCACAGGTCTGTAACATAAAAAAGACTAACCAGTTACTATTTTTTTTAATCATTTTGAAACTGGTTGACTTTCTGTCCTCATTCTGCAGTTGATGTGTTTCTTGAAAAAGTTGGCTTCTGATGTTTAAAGAATCTCCCAGTCCTTTCTTCCATCACATATCTCTTTAGAGTTAGCAGTGCACCCCTAGAGATCAGGGTGACATCCTTAATCGCCCACTGCCCACGAGATAAATGTTTCTCAATAAATGGACAGGTGAATTGATTCTTTTAGAAAGAATTGGGAAACATAGGAAATATGGAATTCTTTCCATAGAGAAGAGCATCTAAGGAATAGTATAGATACACATACATTAGAGAAGATGAGATAAAATGGTACCTCATATGGATGGAAAGCAATTTCCAGGGGAGTTCTTTTAGACTTAGAAAGATATATTTTAAAAGCTTTAAAATATTTTAAAAAATCTTTTATTACGAAAGTAATTTTAGCGTATTTGGAAAATATGGAAGATTCAAAGAACAAAATTAAAATTGTGTATTCTCATTTTTTAATCATAACTTCTGTTAACTTAAGGTACATATTAACAATCTTTCCTCTGTATGATTTTTTAAAAGATTAGATCATGTTTTTTTCTCTCTTCCCATTATTTGTACATTTTCACATTATTAAATAATCTTAAAAATATTTTTATTTGGTCTCAGTTTGTTAAACAGAATGTTTCTATTTTCTCTGCACTGAATAATGGCATAATAATCTTTATGTATCCACATTTATTTGCCATTTTTATTATTTCCTATGACATTATTAGAAAAAAATCCCTCAGTCACAAAATCTTGCAGTAAATGAAGGATGTCAAGTACCCAGCCACCCATACTACCTTATGCTATTAATTGATAATGACCGTTTTTTCTGACTAAAACTGGTCAAGCCCTCCAAATATTTCTAATATGTTTATATTTGTGTTCAAGACAGTCTCACATTTTGAAATGTCTTTTCATCTGAAAGTTTATCTCGGATTTTAGCCAATTCAGTTTTACTTTTCAAATCCTTACCTGCTGCAATTACCAGACAGCTAATTCATTGGTATGATTTTGGGAGTAGGTTTTCTCTCAATCTTATCTAGTCCAGATTTTCTTCATTCCATGGATGCCTTGCTCTACTTCCAGACTCGCCTTCTTTTTCATATCAGTCCTATATCTTCATGAACTTTCAATATACCTCTTTGCTAGGGGAATTAAATACCAGCTCTTAATTCCAGTATTTGAGACATAGTTAGGGAAAGTATTTTTTTAAGTTATGACATTTTTAGGAAAGTTGGACAAAGAGTTAGGTATAGGTCAGAAGTAGTGAAGTCTTTTTGGCATTATGTCTTAGCTTGCTTTCCCTACCACAAAGTAAACAATACTTTTCATTAAAAAAAATTAAATGTCTTTGGCTAGCTGAAGAAAGGAAAAATCTAACAGCCAGAAATCTAATGATATGTCAGAGGTTTGGATTTCATACAAGGACAGGGACTGTGTGTTTACTCTCAATGCTATGTATAAATATCAGTGCTCCGGTTTCAATGTTTAATTTCCTGTCCAGTATTGGCCAGTGTCCCAACTTTAGTATGGGGATGCAGTGCTTTACCATTTAAATTTAATAGCATCTTTTAAAGGAAATCACTAGTTCGTTACAACACTATTTTGCTTCATATCTAGCACTCATATTTGATGGTACCGCATGTATTTACTTACCTATATTTCCGGGCAGGGCAGTGCTGACTGAAACCAGACTTTTAATGGTAGTGCTTCCAGTGTAAATTGGAAAATACTAGTATAATTAGGTTTACTAGACTGTGATAGGAGTAGAGACTTTTCTGTAGTAATCAAAGGCTCAGTGTCAGGAAATTAAGCAAATCTGTGTTTCCACACACACACAAAAACAAAACATGGAAGGAGATCCCTTGAGTCTAGGGTATATTATTATAAAAAGCTTGAAGGCAGAGTTGCCCTATCTTAGACCTTTATCTGCACATCAAAATGCAGTTGCTGTCATTTGCAATGCTTTATGGGCTTCAAACTATACTGCAAAGATCAGTACATCCTTTTAAAGCCGTCTTTATTAGCTCATGTACTCCTGGCATCTTCTGTTTAAAGTTCTCCAGTAGTCTTAGCTCCTCAATTAGTCGATGCCATACTCTAAGGTTCATATGACGCTGTGTATATGCAGGATAATTAGATCAGCTTTCCGAGGTTATTTTTAGTCTTTTTAGAGGAGTTGCGAATGCAGTAAATTTGCTCCATGCTGTTATTTATGGCAAAACGACTTGTATTTGATCATAGTTTACTCTGATGGTATTTGGGGAAAACTGGCAAAGTTTTAACTTCTTTTTTTTGTTTTTTTTAAATCAATGGGCTTCTGTTTCTGGCACTTTGCTTTAAAAAAAAAAAAGTGCCATGCCTGCTGCTGTACATAATAAATTCATCACACCATGATCCAGTGCCAAGTCAACTTGAGTTAAAAATAGCCTGGGCTCCGTGTCTGGGATGTGCATTCTGGAAATGACGGACTTCAGAATCTTAAACCTGAAGTCTCATTATAGGAATGGTGAGAACCATATGGCCTAAAAAGCTCAAGGAAAGTGGATAGAGAAGTACATCTGGCTTTTTTGGCATCTACCATCACATTCTGGTTCTAACATCATGGAAATGTGAATAGATCTTCGAGTAAGGGGGTGATTTGCTGTTTGAAGCAATGTTAATAGGTTGTCATTTTAGTTTCCATGATGTTTGCTATCAGAAATTGGAACCATTTCTGTTTAGTTTAACCATCAAATGGTTGGTGCCTATTAGGTATCAGAAACTATATGTAGGTGATGTAGGTGCTGTGGAACAGAATTCCCTTGCTCTGTAGAAGTTTGTGGTGTAGTTGGCAAAGTAGTTATATAAATGGGTAAGTGCAACATCATATGGTAAGTGTCACCTATGCTACAGATAGAGAATGTGAACTTGAAAAAAGTGTGTTTTGAAAATCAAAGTAGCCCTTAGGTTGGACTCCATGCCGCTTCTAAGCCGGGAACGAGGCTCGGGATCTGTACTGCTAACCTAAGCACTAGCCCCTCTGTGGGGTTGCAGTGCCTTTCAAACTCATCCTGGGCATCCAACGCTTCTTACCAGAAGAAGTTAACCAAAGATTATGGTAGTGCCTACACCAGAAATTACCCTACCTTTCCCCCACTTACCCAAAGCAAAGTGTGTCTTTTTAAAGAAGTTATAGTTATGCGCCAAGTATATATTTGATTTTACCTTGGCATCATGGTGCTTAAACAATTGTTTTTGAGGATGAATCATGAAGATTAACGCACAGAAAAAATATGTGTCTGTATGCGAGTCATGTTATGTCACACTTTGTGTGTGCTCTTTGATTTGTCCGTCAAATTCTTATTTAAACCTCAAATGACACGTACTCAGGTGTCGCCTTTTTTTTTTAAGTTTTCCTTACCCTTGCTTTAAATAAGAGAAACATATTCATCTCTATTGCTACTATCTTGACATGTATCACATTGTATTCAGGCTTTATAACTTATTAACTGTGCGATTATGGACAAGTAATTTAACTTCTCTTTCCTCAGTTTCCTTATTTGTGAGAGAGAAAGAATGAGCCCGACCCTGTAACTCTGCCCTGAGAGTTAATTGAGCCTTGCATGTAAAGTGTCTGGCACAGTGCCTGACACACAGTAATTTATGATCAGTGTTTGGCTCCTCGATGAGGCTGTGTACTTCCTGGTGTCACGGAAGGTAGTATCTCTATAAATCTTGGCTTAACTTAATGACGTCTCTGCCCTTCTAGATCTCAATATCTTTTAGGTAAAAAAAAAAATGGTGGTAAAATTGTGTTAGTGCTTAAACTAACCTGTCAGAGGAAGAATCTCCTTTTAACTTATGGGAATTCCTTAACTTGGAAGATCTTTAAGGAGTGATATTAAAGTAGGACATGTTAGGATCCTTTTCTGGGGCAATGGAAGTCTTAAGAACCCACATCATGTCCTCAATTACATATCCACTTATGATTCTGAGGGCAGATGTGTTACCAGATTGAATAGAAGGCATTGTGTAATGCCCTTTCCAGAGATAATGTCCAAAAGATGTGTTTCATAAATTATGTAGCATATACAAGGATAGAAAGAGAACACAGGAAACAATATGCATTATAGGCCACATTAGATGAGAAAAAAATTCAATTTTCAACGAAGAGACAGTTTGAATTTCATCTCCACTGCCCAGCTCATCTGGGCAAGTCTTTGCTTTAAGGTTCAAGGTTACCATCAGTAAAATAAGATTAATACTTTCTACTTTAGGGATTTTGTGAAATTAAATATATTGTATATAGAAGTACATTGCACAATGCTTTCTTGAAGTTGGAGATTTTCATGACTGCTAGAAAGTTTCCCCAAAGGCAGTGGTTGTCAACCTTGGCTGCACACTAGAATCTCCTGGGGAGACTTAAAAATCCTCATTATCCTCCTTTGTCTTTGAGTGGCATTTGGTTTTGGATCCTCCTAGAATTCTGGTAGTTAACTCATGTATGTTCCTGATACAGACTGTCTGCTGTGGCCTTTGCCTCTGCCTCTGTCATGGCCACTCATTCTGTGACCTCCCCAACCAGATATTCTGTAAGTGTTCATGTCTAACTTTGGGAATATGCATGAAAGTCTGTATTCTGCTTATTCCACATAAGGACTAGGAGAACTGGGTTTAAACCCTTGGTCTGCCCAACACTGATGCACTGCCCTTAGATGCCCTCTTCCAGGCTTGGCTCAAGACACTGTCCTCCTAGAGTCCCCAGTGGAAAACACGGCCAAAATCCTTCCTTAGCATTTTGCTCCAAAACCTCTCAAACACACAGGCTGAGACGATGGCCTATCTGTTTCCCCTCTTCTGCCTTATCTACCTCCAGCCCTTCAGTTCCATCTGGATGGTGCAGTCACCCTTGTGTAAAATTTTATCACCAATTGGATGTGCACCTTGACATACTACAGCAGGTGGCGAAGTGCTACAGAATAAACACTTGTGCCCCACCCCCCAAATTCATATGTTGGAACCTATTCCCCTAATGTGATGGTGTTTAGATATGGAAACTTTGGAAGGTGATTAGGTCATGAGGGCAGAGACATCATGAATGGGATAAGTGCCCTTGTAAAAGCGACCCTGGAGAGCCCCCTCGCCACTTCCTCCATGTGAGGAATGCATTTTCTGTTGTTTATAAGCCACCCAATCTGTGGTATTTTTGTTACAGCAGTGTGAACAGACTAAGACACAGAGTAATTTAGAAAATCCCTTCTTTTTCAACAAAGATTAGTTTTCAAGCCTATTGATAAATCTTATTTTGGCCTCACACGATAAGCCTCAGCTCTCTTAGATTCCTGCTTTGACAGCTGGATGTGGATCCGTGTGTGTTAAAGTGCCATCTCTGAGCTGGGCAGTCGAGCCCCTACTTCCATTTGGGTGCCCCCACATCCCAGAGAAGAGAGGACACACTGATTTTTAGCTTTTTTTTCTTTTGCCACAACGTTTGTGAAAAACAACATTCAAAAGCTTGTAGGAGAAAAATACCCACCTATCATAACCTCAATTAAGAATACGCCTTCCCATTATTACTATTCTCCTTTTATCTTTATTTTACAACCTTGTTTTACGCCAAATATGATCAAAACAATGTATCAAATGATACTTTCTAGACATTGTATTCCTAGTCCTTTAGTCCAGTAGTGCCTGCAAATTATACTAGTAATGGTGTTCCTAGTATAGTGTCTGTGTCTAGTCACTGTGAAAGTCTTTTGTAAGGTTCCTAAGGATGAGAATATCTGATCTCTGTCTTTCTTTATCATGAGAGTAAGTGCTTTACAAATCACTGTATTTGCAGAACATAGTCTGTGATCTGTAGCATAATCATATCTGTCATTAAAAAAATTCTTTATGGAAAAGTCCTGCTACTACATTTCTATGTTACTTATAATTTGCTCTCTTAATCCCAACCATTAAAAAACTGTGGTAGGTGATTCTCTTGAAGGTGCAAAGAGTAGAAGTCATCATACACTTGGACATTTTCTCTAATTTCCATCCCAGTCACAACACATAAGGACTCAGAAATCCAGGAGAGGAAATTCTGCCTCTCCTGGCAGCCTCTGTGTGAGAACCTCTGGGTAATATTCTGTTGGTCATTGTGGTGGCACCTCTCCATGCTCACGGA